TTATTATATAAATCTTTGTCATTTATATTTTAATTTTCACCATCTCTTAAAGCAATATCTAGATCCATTTGGAATTTCTTAGGTTTTGCTTCTTTCAAATTCTTTTTTCTTTTTTAAATAAAAAAACAAAGTAAGATTCCTTGGCATTTTCTACACATGGAATTACTTCATCATGTGGAAATATGGACAGTTTTATTTCTTCTCTCAGTCTGTACACATTCTCTTTTTTTTCTTGCCTTATTGTGTTTGTTAGAAGTTACAGTACTATACTGAGTAAGAATGGTGAGAGCAAACATCCTTCACTTGTGCCCAGATCTACAGGGAAAGTATTTAGTGTTTTAAAGGGAAAGCATTCAGTAAATATGATATTTGCTGTAGATTTTTTTTGGAGATGTTCTTTGATCAAGCTAAGGAAGTCCTGTTTATTTCTAGTTTGCAGAATTATTATCACAAACAGGAATTTTGTCATATATCTGTGTCTTCCTCTATTGTCTTAACACGTTATGTAAAATCATCAATTCTTGTTTAAATGTTTGGTAGAATAGTGAAAACTACAATTCTCTTGTGCTGGAAGATTGCTTTTTCTAGAGCTTTTGATTTTAAACTTAATTTATTTGATTCAAGTTATCTATGTCAACCTTTATGACAACCTATGGACCATTCAAATTATCTGTATCACCCTGAGTTTTTTGTTTTTTTGAGACAGAGTCTCACTCTGTTGCCCCAGCTAGAATGCCGTGGCCTCAGCTTAGCTCACAGGAACCTCAAACTCCTGGGCTCAATCAATCCTTCTGCCTCAGCCTCCCAAGTAGCTGTGACTACAGACATGTGCCACCATGCCTGGCTAAATTTTTTATATATTTTTAGTTGGCCAATTAATTTCTATTTTTAGTAAAAGATGGGGTCTCACTCTTGCTCAGGCTGGTCTCGAACTCCTGACCTTGAGGAATCTGCCCACCTCAGCCTCCCAGAGTGCTAGGATTACACTCGTGAGCCACGGCGTCTGGCCCTGACTGACTTTTGATAGTGTTGTGGCTCTTGAAGAACTGGTACATTTTGTCTATGTTGTAAAATTTATGAGCATAAAGTTGCCGACAATATTGCTTTGTTATCCTCTTACTGGATGCTGGTGTGATATTCCTTGTTTCTTTCCTGATATTGGTGATGTCTTTTTCATATTTTTGTCAATATTGCTAGAGGTTTATCAATTTTACTGATTTTTTCAAAGAACCACGTGTTTCATTAGTTTTCTCTACTGTTCTCTAATTTTCATTTTCACTGATTTCTGCTTTAGCTTTATTTCCTTCCTTCTGCTTGCAGAGATTTTATTTTCTTCTACTTTCTTAAAATAGAAGGTTAATTACATGTTGACACCTTTCATCTTTTCTGTGTTAGCATTTAGGGATATAAATTTCTCTATCAGAAAATTAGCTATTTCCAACATACACTGATACGTTGCATCCTTATTTTCACTCAGTTCTATGCATTTTTAAAATTTCTTTTGAAACGCTTCTTTGATCCATGCACTATTTAGAAGTTTGTTGCTTAATATTCCATTGAATGGATATTTTCCTATTATCTTTCTATTACTGAATCATAATTTGATTTTATTATGGCCAGAAAACACACTCGGTATGATTTCAGTTCTTTTAAAACTGTTGAAAATCCTAAAGACTCCTCCAAAAGACTCCTGGAATTGATAAAGAAATTCAGTGAAGTCTCAGGTTACAAAATTAACATATACAAATCAGTAACCATTTCTATACACTAATAACAGTCAAGCTGAGAGTTAAATCATGAACCTAATATCATTTACAATAGCTGCAAAGAAAATATCTAGGAATATACTTAATCAAAGAGATGAAAGATCTCTATAAGAATTACAAAACACTGATGAAAGAAACCATAGATGACACAAATGGAAAAACTTCCCATGCTCATGATTTGGAAGAATCAATATTATTAAAATGTACATAACGTCCAAAGTGTTTACAGATTCAATGCAATTCCCATTAAAATACCAACATCATTTTTCACAGAACTAGAAAAAAACAATTCCAAATTTCATATGGAATCAAAAAAGAGCCCAAATAGCCAAAGCAATCCTAAGCAAAAGGAACAAATCTGTAGGCCTCACATTACCGGACTTCAAATTTTACAAGGCTATGATAACCAAAACAGCATGATATTGGTATAAAGGTAGACAAATAGACCAATGGAACAGAATAGAGAACCCTGAAATAAAACCATACAGCTACAACCAACTGATTTTTGACAAAGCAGACAAAAACATACACTGGGGGAAGGACACCCCTGATTCCATAAATAATGCTGGGAATATTGGAGAGCCACATGTAGAAGAATGAAGATGGATCCTTATCTCTTACCATACACAAAAATTAACAAGATGGATCAAAGACTTAAATATAAGACCTAAAACCATAAAAATCCTAGAAGAAAAAGTAGGAAACTCTTCTGGACATCGGCCTAGGCAAAGAATTTATGAATAAGACTCCAAAAGCAAATACAGAAACAACAAAAATAAATAAATTGGCCTTAATTAAACTAAAAAGTTAAGGAAAAAAAATCAACTGAATAGGCAACTTACAGAATAGGAGAAAATATTCATAAACTATACATCCGACAAAGGACTAATATACACAATCTAAAAAGAATTCAAACAAATCACAAGAAAAAAACAAATAATCCCATCCAAAAGTGGGTAAAAGACAGGAACAGACTGTTTTCAAAAGAAGATATACAAATGGCCAATGAACATATGAAAAAAAAGCTCAATATCATGAATCATCAGGGAAATGCAAATTAAAATCACAATGAGATATGGCTTTATCCCTGTCAAAATGGATGTTATTAGAAAGTCAACAAACAACAGATATTGGTGTGGATGAGATGAAAAGAGAATGCTTATACACTGTTGGTGAAAATGTAAGCTAGTATAACCTCTATGGAAAACAGTATGGAGATTCCTCAAAGAACTAAAAGCACACCTACCATTCGATCCCACTAGGATTTCTACCTAAAGGAAAAGAAGTAATTATATCAAAGAGACATCTGCAACTGAATGTTTACTACACCACAATTCACAACTGCAAAGATATGGAATCAACCTAAGTGCCCATCAACTGATAAATCAATAAAGAAAACTGTGTGTGTGTGTGTGTACACCCATGGAGTACTACTCAGCCATAAAAACGAATGAAATGATGTCTTCTGCCACAATTTGGATGAAACTGGAGACCATTATCCTAAGTGAAGTAATTCAGGAATGGAAAAACAAATACCACATGTTCTCACTTGTAAGCAGGAAGTAAACAATGTGTATACATGGTTATAAAATGATGTAACAAGCATTGGAAACTGAAAAGGGGGGATGGAGAGCAGAGGCCAAAAGATAAAACACTACCTATCAGGTACAATCTATCCTACTCTGGTGACAGGTACACTAAAAGCCCTGGCTTCAGCATAATACAATACATCCAAGTAGTACAAAACATTTGTACCCCCTAAGTGTACCGAATTTTTTTAAAACTAAATAAATCTGTTGAGGTTTGTTTATGGCTCAAGATCTATCAATCTGTCTATCTTCTGGAATGTTCCATGGGCACTTGAGAAAAAAGTATATTCTATTGTTATCGGGCACTGTACTATAAATTTTGCTTCAATCCTTTTGGTTGATGTTTCGTGTACTCTGAGGTTCTTGTTTGGTGCGGACACATTTAGGATCGCAGCATTTTTGCTGGATTGATCCTTTTATAATTATATAATGTTCTTTTTGTCTAATAATTTTCTTTACTCTGGAGTCTATTTAATCTGCTATTAAGAGGGCCATCCTTACTTTGTTTTGATTAATATATGTATGGTATATCTTTCTCTATTTTTTATCAACCTATGTTGTTAACTATGAGTTTCCAATAGATAACATTTTGAAATCATGTTTTTTGCTTTATCAATACTGCCAATTTGTATTTTAATTAGTGTATTTTGATCATTTACATTTAAGGTAAATATTCCTTAATGAGTCTCTATGCCCTTATTCCCTTTCCAATATTTTCCCTATAGAGATGAGAACAATCTTGTACAAACATAAATCAGACATTGCTCATTTGCTGAAAATCTACCACTAAATCAATAATAATATGAACTTATTTAGTAAGGCTTATGATACTCTTGCCTTTGGACTCTAGCTGCCTCTCTGACATCACTGTCTTCCCCTCCTCCTTTCAACCACTCTCCTTCAGCCACTGTGACTTTCTTATTATTCCTCAAAACTATAGGGCATATTCCTACCCAGGGCTACCAGCTGCTGTTACCCCAGCTAAAAAGAGGCAGAATCCTCACAGCTCATAGTCATTTCATTCAAATTTCTACCCTAATGTTGAACTCATTCAGAGTTCCCTGTTGTTCTTAAAGTAGCACACTCTATTATCAATCTAACCTTATTTAATTTCTTTGATAGTCTTTAACACCACAGAGTATTTAATACACACAAATATAAATATGAATTTATGTGTTTAGGGCTACCTGTATAAACTCACTTAAGGGTTTCTTTTTTTTTTTTTTACTACTTAGAAAATGACTGGCATATAGCAAATACTCAAAATTCACCTACTGAGTCAGAAACTGAGTATATAGAAGAATGTCTGACAAAAAAGAAATGCAGGACAATGGAGATAAGGTAGGCAACTCAATTGCTTTGATAAACAGAGAGTAACCAAGAAAAACAATAGTAAAGATGTGAGATTGCACTATAGGCAGGTATAAGAATGGTAAATATTAAAAAAAAATCAAAAAGGAGAACATTTTTTGTGAGAGTGCTAATTGGAGGTTTCATTTAGAAATCAATATTCTCAGTTACTTCCAAGGTTTAGGACCTCTAAAGAGATACTCTTGAAAAACGTCTCACAGGTGACAACCTCTGAATAAACTACAGGGAAATAATAAATCCCCGATGTTAATCTGTACATTTCACATTAACTCACCTGGGTAGCTCTGGCTTGAGGACTCTTCCTTGAGTATCCATGGTTCCTCCCCTTGCTCCAGCCTGAAGATCACCTCTGGTTTGGTAACACAATACCCTGTTAACAGGAAATAATTTAGGACTAAACCAAGCAGTCTAGACTTCATGGCCACTGAAGGAGGGAGAAGCTTCTGGAGCTGCTCAGTGATGATGCCACTAGAACATTTCACTGGAGAGGTGAACATATGACTCTTCTGGTGGTCAAAGGTGATCCATCCACACTCATTTTCATAATTTTAAATATCATTAAACTACAGAGTGCCCATGGGCTTCATAAGCAAAAGAATGAAAAATGCTGTTTAGAGATACATAGTAAACGGGCCTTACCTACTGAGACCAAGTTGCTGTAGTTCTCCAGCATCACGTCCCTATACAGAGATTTCTGACCAGGGTCCAGGTGTTCCCACTCCTCCTGGGTGAAGCCCACAGTCACATCCTTAAATGACAATGATCCCTGGAATTTCTGTTCAATCTGAAATACTCAGAATTAGGTGACATGGAAAGAGATGTACAGGACTAATCTTTACCGTGATTATTGTTCACAGATTACCAAAATGGTTTACAAAATATTTGTATTGATTTATACTAATACTGTGGGGAAAAAGAGAAATCATAACAAATAATCAGCCATTGCATTAAGCTACTGATTCATTAAAAAAAATTATCAAGTCCCCACAATGTATCTGGAACAATTATACTTATTAGAAATACTAAGATTAATAAAAATCAAGGAATATACAATCTGGTAAGAAAATATATGCAGTAATATGTTACAAGTACTATGGTGAAAGTACACCCTAGACCAATACAATAAAGAAGGAGCAAAATTAGTTCTATTTTGAGCTTCACTGAGGAAATACAGCTGTTGGCTGAATTTTCACTATACTGTGTTCTTCCTAAGCATGGCACCACCACACAAGCAAAGGCAAGGGGGTGGCCTCTAACACACTCAAGAAATCAGCAAAAGGACAAACAGCACAGCAGATGAGAACACGGCCTAGTGCTGTCATTTAGGGAATGGGTTACAGAGTCATCTAAGGCTAATTAGTCTCCAAAGTAGTTATCATTTACCATTTTCAAGATTATTAAGCACTACAGTGTATATTTATAAATCACAGAAATAAACTGTCAGTACATTTACTATGAATTTTAATTTAATTTAATTTAATTTAATTTAATTCTCACTTAGATTCAGAACTGGAGAAAATCAGCCCAATATTTTATTTCAATACATATTCTAGGTTCTAACCTTCAATTCAGGGACAATAATAAAGATGCATAGAAAATGGAAAGAGTTAGAGTGTACAGAAGATATCCAATTGGATCATTTTGGACATCTTCTAGGTGCATGCCTCTTTTAGGGATCACTGCTATGAAAAAGGAGAGCCAAGAAACAGACATGAGCATATACTGAAATCACGCGACCAGGTATTTATTTATAGGATCAATTCTCTTGAGAAAGGGAAGGGACAGCTAAGAACAAAACAGCACCACTTACATCAAGTTCTACAGTAGAAAAGTGGGCTGCAAACAGGGCACTGACAATAAGAGACAGAGCAATAAAACATGGTCACCAATTCACTAGGCAGAAAGGAAATGTTTCTCAGGCTATCCACAGGAACAGCTACACAGATACCAGGGTCACAAAGCCAGCCAGGGACATTTGGGGTAAATAGGGTGAAATAGATTGGACACAGTATTTCAGCAAGACAGGTCTCACATAAATTTTGAAGCATAATACTGGAGGTCAAAAATGAAAAAATAAGGATTTCAGAAACACTAATAACCTGGTGGTGTTAGAAGCTTATCAATGGTAAATCAGAAGGTTGTCAGAGAACTTAGAAAAAATAATCAAGAATGGAACCTGGGGGAAAATCACGTTTTAACCGATTCGCACAGCACAGAAATAGGCCATGAAGACCATGAAGCAACTTTTGGAAAGGTGGAAATAAAAATAATAACAAATAGTTGTAAAAACTAAGAGATGATTATATGATCATATCAAAGCCTGCTTAAAAACTCTTGGCAAATTAGGAATGAAAAGGAATTTCCTCAATGTGACAAAGGATGTCTACATATACCTAACAGCAAATGTCATAGTGGTGAAATATGGAAAATGTTCAACTTAAAAACAGGACTAAGAGAAGGATACCTGCCTGCTATTTCCAACTTTATTCAACATTTTCTAAAGTTCTTACAGTAATAAGGTTAAACAATTATATACACAGAAAATTCAATAAAAGTACAGTTTTAGAAACTGGTTGCAAGTTCAATAAAGCAAATCTTAGGTATTTCTATAATAATTAAGGTATTGTGATACAGGCATAAAGACTTTCAAATGTATCAACAAAAGAGAGCCCCCAAACAGACCCACACCTATATGGCCACTTGATTCATAACAAGGGTGACAAGAACAGTCATTTCAATAAATAGTGATAGTTTAATGAGTATTTATTGCTATCTTAAGTGTAAGCAGAAACCCACCTTATAGAGTGTATACACCTAAATTTGCAAAGTAAATTTTTCAAAAATGCTGTAAGAAATTTTTCTGCATGACTTCAAGACAGGCAAAGATTTCTTAAACAGACACAAAATATATTAACCATACTCTATTAAAATTAATAACCTGTCTTTATAAAAAGACAAGAAAAGAATAAAAGTATAACCCATAGATTGGGAGAAGATATTCAGACATATGTATATATATATATGAATGTATTCAGAATACATATACAGATATATGTATTCAGAATACATGTATCGAAGAACTCAGATCCCTAGCAGAGAAAGAAATGTAGCCCTAACATAGAAATTAACCCATTTATCTCTAGCATAGAAAAAAAATTCTAAAATTAATAAAAAAAAAAAAAAAGGCAGGCCATCTCAATCGCAAAACTGGGAAGTCAGAAGACTGAGCAAAAATTTGAACAGGCAGTTGCTATAAAAAACAGCTAAAAAATGTCACTAGAAAATTCTAAATCCTACAAAGATACTCTTTTAAAATGAATATATTTTCCAAATAAAGGCTGAAAAAACTGACAACAGTACACACAGATAACAAGAAATACCATAGTTCTTTAAGCTGAAGGAAAATGATACTTGATAAAATCCCAAAACAGGATAGAATGAAGAAAAATGAAAAGGAAATTTAATGTACCTATAGTAATGTCTTTTGGAATCTACAGCACACATAAAAGCAAAGTAAGTCACAACACTAGCAAAAAGCATAGTTTAGGGAACAAAGAAATTAAATTTTTAAGATTCTTGCAATATCTGTGAAGTGGTAAAGTACTAATGTAAGGTAGACAAAAATAAGAATGATATTGTAATATCCAGAGTGAACACTACAAAAATACGAAATAGTAAACTAAAAAACTACTAAGTATGAAAAAATAATTAAACACCTGTCAAGAGGAAAATGGGTAAATTATACTATTTTCATGCAATGGAATACCATGTAGCAGTACAAGGAATGAACTACTGGTACACACAGCAATGCAGATGGGTCTAATATATATTGAAATTAAGAAGCCTGACACAAAAGTGATTGCGTCACTGATTCTCTGCATTTAAGTTTCAATAACAGATGACAAAAGAGTTGAAGTTTTTTTCTAGGTGGGATGAAACAGGAAAAATGGGCAATCAAAAGACCTTGATAAGAAAACACTATTTAACATAGATATGTTAACAAATAAATCTATTACTAATTGTAACAATTAGTAACATATTACATCAGAACAGAAAACCAGCAATCTACCAATTAAAAAAAAAAAAAAAGAAAGAAATTTCACCAGCAGCACAAAAGAAACAGAGGAAGTATGATAAAAACTATAACATAAAGTAAAACATACATTGTCAAACAAACTATGTATCTTAGATATATAGTAAACTAAGCTATACAAAAAACCCAAAACACTAAGCTATAAGGGGGCATATGAATGTGTTAAATTTCTTATCAATGACAGAAATAATTGACTTTAAAACAAAACCAGCTAAAAGTTCCTTACAAGAAAAGATCAGGAAAATCTGAAAATAAAGTAACAAATACCACATATGCAGAAAATATAAGCAAGATTGGCTATAATTACATCCGATAAGGTAACACTGAGGACCAAACAAATTAAATGACAAAGACAATTCTTCAAGGAGAAATCATTCATGTACATCTTTTTTGGCACAAAATACCAAGAAGCCAAACTCATATGGAAAAAACTACTATAAGTACCAGGATACTCTGATTAAAACATACATACTGGGGAAAATACATGAGGTAGGAAAACAAAAGAGAATATTATATGAAAGACCACAGGAAATAGATGTTTTCTTTAGAAACTTTAAAAACTACCAACATTGATTTAGAAAGCAATAGAAAATTGGTCCAAAGACCAATAACTAGAAATATGATTTAATAATCAACTGAAGATCTTGAAGATCTACCATGGAAAAATCACTAAGTTCAGATGTTTTTAGAATTAAATTATAGCCACCATTAAGTAAAACAATTCATGTAATTTAAACATTCCATACTGCTATGACTTGGATGTTTGTTCCCCAAACCTCATGTTGAAATTTGATCCCAATGTTGGAGGTGTGGCCTAATGGAAGGTGTTTGGGTCATGGGGGCAGATCCTTCAAAATAGACTAATGCCCTCCTAGGGAAAGGGATGTTAAGTTCTCGCTCTATTAGTTCCCAAAAGAGCAGATTGTTATAAAGAGCCTAGCAACTCCCGCTCCCTTTCTTGCACCCTCTCTCACCATGTGATCTCTGTACAGCTGGCCTCCCTTGCCCTTCTACCAGAGGACCTCACCAGATGCCCAATCTTGAACTTTACCAGACATCAGAATCGTGAGTCAAATAAAATAAACCTCTTTTCTTTATAAATTACCCACTCTCTGGTATTCTTTTCTAGCAAGACATAACAGACTAAGACACACACCCTAGGAAAATGTTTATTAATTATCATAAACTTAATACCAAAACAAAATATTGGTTAAGAACAATTCATATTTAATTTTGATGCAAATATTCTAAATAAAACATTAACAAACTCAATCCATTACAATCTATTAAGAATAATTCAGCTTGAACAACGAGACACAGGCTGCAGAACAGCAGATTATCTTGTTCACAGTATGTGCTCCAAAAACTTAAAACAATCCATGGTAAGCGTTCAAAAATATCTGCAGAATGACCTAATAATTTTTTGAAAAATTCAACCGTAAGTTCAGACACTTGAGAGCTCTAAATATTGGATTACATGACATAGACTTTAACAGAACTGTGACTAAAATCACTAAAGAAAAAAGATGGCAAGATAGAAAATTTCAAAAGAAAACTGAAAACTATGAAAGACGAACACAAGTGGAAAATCACCTAAAAGCAGCCAAAAAAATGACATATTACCTTCAAAGGCAAAAATGCACCCTAAAATTGCAGAAAAGGCATACTTTTCCAATTCACACGAACCTTTT